CCTGCTCATCTTTGTGGCTCCTCTGGACCCTCTCCAACAGCTCCCTGCCTTTCCTGTACTGGGGGCTCCAGACCTGGACACAGCACTGCAGCTGGGGCCTCACAAGAGCAGAGCAGAGGGGGACAATCACCTCCTGTCCCTGCTGCCACCCCTGTTGATGGAGCTGAGGAGCTTCTAGAAGAGAGTCGGGTTGGTAGTAGTGCCTGCTGCTGTATGGGTGCAATACCATATCACAGCATGCTTGGAGAGGTGGCATAGGGTTGGAATGGTTCAAGGAATTTAATGTCAGTTATTCTTATCCTTTGAAATAATTTGCCCCATCCCTGCAGGCATTCAAGGCCAGGCTGGATGTGGCTCTGGGCAGCCTGGGCTGCTGGTTGGCGACCTGCACACAGCAGGGGCTTGGAGCTGGATGAGCACTGTGCTCCTGTGCAACCCAGGCCATTCTAGGATGCTATGAAACCTTAAATGAAGAACGATAGTGGTGGGATATATGATGGGAACACAGCAGTCATTGCCCGTTTATTATTTTTCTTTGAACACCAGTGTGTTTGCCTGCAAGCAGGCTGAGCATCAACTAGTATTTGTGATCAAGGCTCTCCATGCTTTTGGTAGTGGAAGTATCAGCTAGGTGGCTAAGTAGTCAATTTGCCTGTCTTATTCTGCATGTAAAAATGAGCTCTCTTTAGCCCATGCTTTTTTAAAGAAATGTTCATTTCCATTCTGCTGTATTTAGCCCAAAGCATTACCTGATGTCTGACTGCTTTCAAACAGTGCGGCGGCACAGGCTGACTAAAGGTGGAACAAATTCCTTGAGCTTTCTTCCTCTTACCATCACTAGAAAACCCCTTAACTAAAACTACAGCTCTCCCCCTCGTCTGCAGGCTTTGGAAAAGAAGTAGGAAGGGTTGTGGTGGTGTGCATTCTGCCTGCCCACAAAGCAGAGCAGAGGGTATTTCAACCCATGCTGTGCCAACAGGCTGGGGCCCAGCTCACCTGTGAGCAGAGGGGGCACGAGAAGGGATGTGTCCAGCTCTCCTGACGTCATGTAATCTGAATGTCATCCTTCTGTCTGCTTGGTACTGATAGAATTTGTTTGCAGGAGTCTCAGTTTCTGCACGACAAAGCCAAAAAATGAAGCAGCCCTGCCACTTGGCCACGTGCTTGGTGTAAGCAGAGCTCTGCCTTCGCTGCTTTGGTAGCTCTGTGTGTTTTCAAAAGCATACGATTCTCAGTACAGGAGAGATGTGGAGCTGTTGGAGTGCATCCAGAGGGCCACAAAAACGGTCCCAGGGATGGAACACCTCTCCTACAGGACAGGCTGAGAGCTGGGGCTGTGCAGCATGGAGAAGAGAAGGCTCCAAGGGGATCTAAAGGGGAGCCACAGGAGAGAAGGGGACAGACTCTTTAGCAGGGAATGTGGGGACAGAACAAGGGGAAAGGGTTCCAAGCTCAAAGAGGGGAAATTCAGGTTGGATACAAGGAAGAAGTCTTTTGCAGTGAAGGTGGTGAGGCACCGAGCAGGCTGTCCAGTGATGTGGTGGATTCCCCATCCCTGGAGGCTTTCAAGGAAGGCTGGATCAGGCCCCGGGCAACCTGATCTGGCTGTGGTGTCCCTGTGCATTGCAGGGGAGTTGCAGTGGAAGAGCTTTGGAAGCTTAAAAGAAGGAATGTCAGCCTCAAAGAACTGCAGCGAAGTGCTGGCCCACTGAAGCTGACTTAGAGCACTCTTAGAAGGAAATGGAATGGGAGAGCCAGGGAGAGTGAGAGGATGGGTGTGTTATCAGCTCCCTGTCTGCTGCCAGCTCAGGCTTTCCCACATGGCAGAGAGGTGGCTGACAGGGCTCTGCTCTTTAACACATCACTTCAGGTAACAAATTCTGGGTGGTGACATAAGGGCATCATAAAGGCAGTGTGGTTGTGATGGATTGGTAGGAGGAGCTGTGAATTGAGAGCTCAGCTCTGCTGGGGGGCATTTTGCATCATTTTGCATACCGTAATCTCATTAATCATGTTAATTTTGAAAGCCTTTCAGTGTTGTCAGGAAATGGACACCAACTAGGAGCAATTCTGCCCTTGGATAAAGACAGCATTTAATCTGAGATAGCATCTTTTAGATGCTTGCTTTGCAGGGTAATCCCCAGGAAGCTGCACCTTTTTGGACTGTGCTCAAGCCGAAGTCTGGGGCCAATATTGACTCCCATTCTTGTTCTGAACATCTGTGGCGTCTGTCATGCTTTGGGTTGTGTGTTCCTTTGGACCTGGTACTGCTGAGCTCTCACCTCCTGGCTTTGCACAGCCCCAGCTGTGGTGACAGCCCCAGCTCCCTGCTCTCCACGTGATGGAGAGGAACTTTTGGACACAGTGAGTCCCCTTCACCAAAGCGGTGATGAATTCATGTTTTCATTTCAGTCCAGATGAAGGCTGTAAATTTTCCAGGTATATAAATAGAGTAGTAAACACACTTGTGTGCTCCTGCAGAGTAACTTCAGCTTTTCAGAAGTGATTTCTCATTGCACTGTTTGAATACTTGGACAAACCCAGGATTCCCTTGCTTTTTGATGAACACGTTACGCTGCCTCACGTGCAGTGAAGTAGCAGGGTTGTGTTCACACACCCTCAGGTCAACCTCCATCCTGCTGTCCCACATCTGTTGTGTTGGGATGGCTGTGGGGTGAGGGCAGCGGGTGCTGTAAGAAAGAAAAGACAGGAACAGAATGTAAGGAAGGATTTTCCCCGTTAGCTTTGGCTGCTCCACAAAACAGATCTCAACTTTTGCAGCACATCACTGTGCAGTGAGAGTGCTGTGCCTTGCACTCATGTGTTCCTGTATTCACACAGGGCTTATAAGCACTGTGCCTCTCCTGTAGGATGCAACCTACAGAGGACGGCCTTGTCTTCATATAACTGATCTCTGCTTGGCTTTGTTTTTCCCTCCCTGTGCTCACAGAACTATTTTTGCTTTCTTTGAAGGATTGGACCTATCCCATGAGGAGAGAGATGCAGGTATGGCACACTTTCCTTTTTTGTTCAAGTCAAAACCCTCGGTGCCCTCTGTATGAAAAGGAAAGTGCCCTACAAACAAAAGCTGCTGTCAGGATTGATCTTCAGGGGTGAAGTACAAACACTGTAGTTTGTCATAGAATCCTAGGATGGCCTGGGTTGCACAGGAGCACAGTGCTCATCCAGCTCCAACCCCTGCTGTGTGCAGGTCACCAACCAGCAGCCCAGGCTGCCCAGAGCCACATCCAGCCTGGCCTTGAATGCCTGCAGGGATGGGGCATCCACAGCCTCCTTGGGCAACCTGTGCCAGTGCCTCACCACCCTCTGCATGAAAAACTTCCTCCTCATATCCAACCCAAACCTCCCCTGTCTCACTTTAAATCCATTCCCCTTGTCCCATCACCATCCACCCTCACACACAGCCGTTCCCCTCCTGTTTATCCGCTCCCTTCAAGCACTGGAAGGCCACCATGAGGTCTCCCCACAGCCTTCTCTTCTCCAGGCTGAACAAGCCCAGCTCCCTCAGCCTTTCCTCATAGGAGAGCTGCTCCAGCCCTCCCATAGAATGGCTTGGGTTGGAAGGGACCTCGAGGATCAAAGTCTTGTCTCCATGAGTGCTGTAGCAGATGGTTGCTGGAGCTACATATTGCAGCTTTGCTTTTTAACTTGAATTCTGGGGCTGGTAGTAATCAAACTGGAATTTATTCCGAATGAAGGACTGAATTCCTGTTCCACAAGAAGATCCTCTGCATGCAGATCATGTTGCTTTTATTTTTGCCAAACTGACTTTGTCCCCTTGTCCCATGGGAGGTGTGGCTGGGTGATGTCCCTCGCTAACATCTCAGTTATTTGTTTCCCTGCCCGTGGTCTGAGTGCAGTGCAGTGTGTTATTTCAAATCCTGTTGCCTTGATATTAAATGTCTGTTTTCTGCCCCCCCCTTAGGAAATTTTACCTGGGTTATTTTTAGGCCCATACTCTTCAGCTATGAAAAGCAAGGTATGATCTTCAGAACAGTATCTCCCTAGGGAGCTTTGCCGTGGCGATACGTCCGAGTGTGTGTGTATCTGTGGAGGTACACGTTGGGTTGCAGCATTCATGCAGCCCTGTGGCACCTTCCCTGCAGGGTGCAGGCAGCACGTGGTGCATCTACGGGCTGCTTTCTTAGCCCTGGGGGCTGGTATCGATTCCTTCCTCTTTCCAGAGAAGGTCTGAACGCTGCAGCCGTGCAGACACTTGCAGAAGCTGCATTTATTTAATGATCCTGAGAGCTAATGGGTTACCTTGGGGTGGGGGGAGGTGGAAATAATTTCAAGGGAAACAAAAAGGGGGGCACAAACAAGTTCCCTGAGCACCTTTATTGCCTGACCCTTTATCATTGTTAGAAATGCTTTTCTTGCAAGTTCTAACCTTTGTGGTGTTTTCTCTTTTTAAACACACACGTATCCCCATTTTGTTTCACACCATGCTTTGAATGTCAGAAAAGCAGCTCTGATTTCCCTTGAGGACTTGGTGTCACTCATTATGTGTTAAAGTATGACTTTTCTTTTAATGGCCGTGTAATGGATGGATTCAGCAGCCTAAAACAAAAATCTCTTTTCCTTTTTTTGCAGCTACCTATACTTCAGAAGCATGGAATAACCCATGTAATATGCATACGGCAAAACATCGAAGCCAATTTTATTAAACCAAACTTCCAGCAGCTATTTAGGTGAGAAACAAACGTGATGTGCTGACCTGAAAGCAGTTGATAGTCTGATTTTAAACACCTTATTCTGTACTGATAAGACTCTGTGTGTGTGTGTGTGTTCTTTGCAGTGGTTTGAGCCATGTGGGTTATCCTGGTGTCCTGCAGGTTGCAGTGTTACTGTGTGCTCACACACTGGAACACTGTGTGCTCAGTGACTGTTCTCATTGCAGGTATTTAGTCCTGGATATTGCAGATAATCCAGTTGAGAATATAATACGATTTTTCCCTATGGTAAGTGTTGGTTAATGGGAGTGGGTTGGGAATAGGGCTGCCCAGTAAGATCGTTATGAACCAAAACATGCATGGTTTCAGATGTGGGGAACCCAGCCTGAGGCAGGTGAAGGGCTCTTAAGTGACCTCTTATTGCCCCTGCAGCAAGTGTGATCAGCTTGTTCCTACAGCTAGAGAAGTGAAGGTGGAATTACAAGAGCTGTACTTTGTGATGGCCCCAAAAGAAGACAGTTCATGGGAGAATAATAGTTATTTTGGAAACCCTTGTCCTAAAGGAAACTGGTATCCTGGGCTCCATCAGCAGAGGGGTGGCCAGCATGGACAGGGAGGTGATTGTCCCTCTCTACTCTGCCCTCATGAGGCCCCTCTGCAGTACTGTGTCCAGGTCTGGAGCCCCCAGGACAAGAAAGACAGGGAGCTGTGGATGCCCCATCCATCCCTGGAGGTGTTCAGGGCCAGGTTGGATGGGGCTGTGAGCAACCTGTTCTAGAGGGAGGAGTCCCTGCCTGTAGCAGGGAGTTGGAGCTAGATGATCCTTGCGGTCCCATCCAATCCAAACCATTCTATGGTTCTGTGCTTTATTGCTACTTGGAACCTTCCCCACAATAAAAAATGCAGCTTTTGCTGTTCATTCGGTGAACTGTTTCAACCTGGTACTGTTCTGCAGGCCTCACTGGATCACGTCATGCCTTATTAGATTGCTTAGAGCTGTTTTTGTAATTGAAAATGTCGTTGGAAAGCCTTAGGGGGACACAGGCAACAGCAGTGCGGTCCAGGCCATGCTGGTGTTGATGCTTGTGGTTTCTCCTTGCCCCACAAGTGTCCACCAAAGATGTCTGGAAGGTGCTTTGTATCACAGTGCCCTAATGTGCCTTGCTGCATCTCACTGACTGTTTTATGGGTGATGAGAAGCTGTAGTTCAAATCAAAATGCTCAGCTGAACTGAAGTCTGAGCCTGCGTAAATAAATGAAATGGTTGTTGCTGTGTGTAAAGAGCAAGGCAACAAATTCTGCAAGCAGTAGGAACATCTGTAAGAAATCCAGAAGTTTGAGTCTTTTGATGGTTGTTTTTTTTCCTCTCTTTCTAGACTAAAGAATTTATTGATGGAAGTTTACAAAGTGGAGGTAAATCAGACTGACCTTTCCCTTTATTGACCAGTACCAGTACCAGTGACCAGTATTGCTCTTAAAGCTTTAAAGCCTTGAAGATGTGTGTGGTAGATGCTCTTAAATATGAAGCTTTCTTAAATTTAGGGGGGTGTAATTTTGTTTGACTTGAACTGGTTACACAAACTCAGAGTCAGCTGTTCTTTTCCTCTTTTGATTTCAACTGCAAAACAAACCTCTTCATACATCTTTCCTTCGTTTGAGACGTGTGTGTTCCCCAATGGAGAGCTTAAATCTGCACTGTGGTCCCAGGATGCTGATCCTGTTACTCAGAACCCTCAGAGGAGTGAGGATCCACGTTTCTGTGTCCCAGAGTAGTGATGCACAGAGTGCAGTTAGTAGCAGACTGAAGTGTAATGCACTCCTGCTATTCTCATGTTGTACTTTGCTGATGTGTAGTTGCTCATAACAAGTTAAAACGACGTCTCAAAGAGCTTCCATTTGTACAAGTGTGGTTTTGGGTTTTTTCTTCCTCAGGAAAAGTTCTTGTCCATGGAAACGCAGGGATTTCTAGAAGGTAGGAAAATATCCATCCTGCTTATTATCGTTTTACTCCATTGGAATGTATTTCAGTGACTTAGAAAAATGTGTTTTTATTTTTGTTTCAGTGCTGCCTTAGTTATTGCATACATAATGGAAACGTTTGGCGTGAAGTACAGGTGAGAGCAGGGTTTGTACAGTCGATGGTCTGTCCTATAGGGCAGAAGTAAGAGGGTACTTAAGAACAGAGAAGCAGTCTGATACATCTGTAGGTGTAACAGTTTTAATTCACGTGAATTGCAGTGGATAATAATCTTGGGGGCAGTGCACATTGCTGTACTGCCATATGAGCCAGTTGTTACACCCGAGGCTGGGTGAAGTCTTTCACATGGGGAAGACAATTCCATCTCCAGGTTTGCTTTCGCCCTTCCACGAAGAAGCAGGCACCTTCTGCTCAATGCAGCCCACACAGACCAATGCCTGGCTGTCACACTCTGTAAGAGGGATCCATGTTTTAAGACATGTTTTAAGCTGCATGTTGAAAACAGGCCAGCAAGTAGAAGGCTGGAGGTTGGGGTGGGCAAAGAGCGTGCTACAACTACTGCCTTCTGTTCTGCCCAGAAACCTTCAGCTAAGCAAAGCAGTTCTGAGCAGGCTGTGTACTTCCCAGAACTGGTAACCTAAACTCCTGAAGCCCCACAAATCTGTCACAGTCTGTTTTCCACTCACATATATTTTCTTTCTCCTTCTCTTGTTTAGGGATGCGTTTACTTACGTTCAAGAAAGAAGGTTCTGTATTAATCCTAATGCTGGATTTGTCCATCAACTTCAGGTGATGCTTTGTTCTTATTTCTTACTTCTGGGCTTGTTTAGCCTGGAGAAGAGAAGGCTGAGGGGAGACCTCATGGTGGCCTTCAGTGCTTGAAGGGAGTGGATAAACAGGAGGGGGAACGGCTGTGTGTGAGGGTGGGTGGTGATGGGACAAGGGAAATGGTTTTAAAGTGAGACAGGGGAGGTTTGGGTTGGATATGAGGAGGAAGTTTTGGAGCCAGAGGGTGGTGAGGCACTGGCACAGGTTGCCCAAGGAGGCTGTGGATGCCCCAGCCCTGCAGGCATTCAAGGCCAGGCTGGATGTGGCTCTGGGCAGCCTGGGCTGCTGGTTGGCGACCTGCACACAGCAGGGGTTGGAACTGGATGAGCACTGTGCTCCTGTGCAACCCAGGCCATTCTAGGGTTCTGTTTTTCTAATTACATCTCAAAACTCATTTGTTGAGTCATCTTGCTCCAAAACCAACTCTTCTACTTAGGCTTAACTTTTCCTGTGAAGCTATGCTTTGAGTGAGTGTCAGGAATTGATAGCAGACCTGGGGAGGAAAATGAGCAGGTATCTTAGTTCATTAAACTTTAGACAAAGGAAATCCAGGAATGGAAGATAACTGAAAACAGCTCTGTGCACAGTGGTTAAAAGGCTCTTGAAACAGCTTAGTTGGTAGCCAAGGAAAGTGCAAAGTGGGTGTTGTGGCACACATCCATGTTCCTTCTTGATGCTCCCATTCATAGATGATGAAGTTCAAAGGTCTGAAACCATGATTTTTCAATATCATGGAAATCTTTCTCTGTTTCTTAAATTCATTTCTTGTCATCCTTTAGATTTTCTGTTGCTCTGCTTTCTTGATGGTTTTTGTTGTTCATATCAAAGCAGCAAAAAACTCTCCTGCTTTGAAACCTTCTGCCATTTCTGTAAGGCACCTCCTGACATGTCCCCTCCACCTCCTCACAGGGTATTGTACTAAATTAACAGCTATGTGTATTATTAAACTTTTTCAGGAATACGAAGCCATCTATCTAGCAAAACTGACCATCCAGATGATGTCACCGCTGCAGCTGGAGAGATCGCTCTCTGTTCCGCCTGGCACTACAGGTCAGCAGCCTCTTCTGTTGTGTGTGATGCCACCTGCTGACCCTGCTGGTGTGTGGGGAATGCTTCACACCCAAAGCAAGCCCCCAGCAGCAGTGAGTCATAGAATGGCCAAGGTTGGAAGGGACCTCCAAGCATCATGAAGCTCCAACCCCCCTGTGCCATGCAGGGCCACCAACCTCCACATTTCACAGCAGCCCAGGCTGCCCAGGGCCCCATCCAACCTGGCCTTCAACACCTCCAGGGATGGACGGGGCATCACAGCCTCTCTGGGCAGCTGTTCCAGCACCTCACCACTCTCACAGCACACAACTTCCCCCTGACAGCCAACCTCCATCTGCCCTCCCTCAACTCCAAACCATTTCCCCTTGTCCTGCTGTCATCTCCCCTTTCCAAGAGCTGACTCCCCTCCTGTCTGCAGGCTCCCTTTAGGTACTGCAGGCTGCACTGAGCTCACCCTGCAGCCTTCTTTTCTCCATGCTGAGAACCTCAAACTTTTGGGAAAGAGGTGTGTGTGCTCACTTGAAACAGAAGAGAAATTGAGTATGGGGGAGAGAAAATATTTGGGAAGCCCAAAAAATAGTGGGCTCCAAAAAACCACTTCTCCATGTGGAGATGGGTGAGGGAAGAGGAGTGCAGTGAGCAGCAGGCTGTCTCAAAGCTGAATGTCCTGACACGTCCTCCAAGAAGACATTTGCACCTGTCCTGTAGCCCTACTCCCAGCCATGTGTTGTTACAGCTGATGCCTTTGTCTTCTTCTTGTGTCATCAGTGATAGGACCAGGGGGAATGGCTTCAAGCTACGGCAGGGGAGATTCAGGCTGGACATGAGGAAGTATTACTTGTCAGAAAGGGTGGTCAGGCACTGGAATGGATGCACAGGGAGGTGGTGGAATCACCGACCCTGGGGGTGTTCAAGGAAAGGCTGGATGTTGTGTTGAGGGACATGGTTTAGTGGGAGCTATTGGGAATAGGTGAACGGTTGGACTGGGTGATCTTTTAGGTCTTTTCCAACCTTGGTGATTCAATGATTCTATGATTCTCCTCCTGCCTCTTTGTAGGAAGTCTAAAGCGAATGCATGAAGAGGACGAAGAGCTTGGAACCATGCAAGTGGCAGCAGCACAGAATGGATGAGGACAGCACTGTTTGCATTGTGAGCTCCTGCTGAGAAAGGTGAAGAAAGCTAGGGGGAAAAAAGAGAACTAATGCAAAACGATGAACACACAGAGCTTCTTTTCAATTACATGTTGCTTTCAGATGTAAATCTGCCTCTGCAACACACTAAGCATCATTTTTAAGATGTTGGACTTCTTGAATGAATAGATGGCACTGATTGTTTTACTCCTTTTTTACACTTTACAGTTTTATTCTAAACCAAGATTTTTGGACTTGCAAAGAGGTATTATTGCAATAATGCACTTTTCATACTTGAAATTTCTTTATTTGTATGATATAAAGTTATTACTTTAAACAAAATGCAAGCTGGGGGGGGTTTGTTTATAAAGTTATTTGTGTAATTTATAACAAGAGACTTTAGTAAAGAAAAAGTTTGCTAAAATTCACTTTGTTCTCACTGTCTTATGGTCACACTCAGATACGTGTTTTACAAGCTGCACTGTGCACTGCTGTTGACAGTTGAGCAATGGCAGTGCTCTATTCAGCATTAACCCTTTATTTGGTTCTAAAATCTCATATGGAATTATTTTGAAGCTGGCACTGAGACCATATGAAGAGAGAATATTGTTCTAAAATTCTCTGCTTGTATTATGCAAGCTAGTTTACTTTACCAGAGTACTGGTTCCTGATTAGTTAATAAAACAGTCCTGTGCTAAATGAGTACAGGTGGCAGTTACTGATTTCCCAGGCACGAATGCTTTCAGAGCGTGGTGTTGACTGAGCAAATGGGGAAGCTGTTGGAATGAATGGGTCTGTTTGGGAAATGGGCTGTGAACAGCTGGGCTGAAGACAGGGGAATGAATGTAGAAGACATTTGGGAGGCTGAGCACCCAGCTTTGTTCCCTGTACTGGTAGAGCTGTGTTCTGTCGGTCCTGGAATGAGCATCCTGTGCTGAAGGCAGAAGTGCTGGCTGGATGGATGGGGGGCTTTGTGGGGCAGGTGTCTGGAAGGGCATGAATCTGAGCAGCGAGGATCTCTTCTGAAGCTGCCTTTTGCTGAAAGACTGAGAGCTTGTTTACCCTGCAGGACTTCTGCCTCGGTGTATTGAAGGCAAGTGGAGCACACCTGTGACTTGCTGAGCTTTGCTTAGTCACCGATTCTCTGCCTTCTCTTGCAGTTCCCCAGAAGCTTTGCTGAGGGACAGTCCCTCCAGAGCAAGCCTGAACTTCTTAGCCTGTGTCAAGGCTACTTAGAGACCTGTTACAAATAGCAGATTCTGGCTTGAAAACTACTGCCTGGATTAAAGCGTGCTGCTGGAACAGATGCTGGTGACAGCTGAGGAAATCTTCCTGCAGTAAGTCAAGGCTTTTAGTTGAGCCAGGACACCTGGGCTGGGGCTTTGTAGCCTGACAGTCTCTCATGTGTAAGGTGAAGGCCCTGTGTCACTCAGGGAGCTTCAGTGGAGCTGGGAGAGCAGCACTTTCCCCTTATTGCCATTTGTCCTGTGCTGTGTGCTTCAGTGAAGAAGTTACGTAAATTCTTCAGAAAAAAAAAAAGTCTTTGGAAAACGTATTGTGCTTGAGTCAGGAAACTTCCAGCTTTAAAAGAACAGCTTTGAAGCTGTTGGGAAATGAAATCCTCAGGCACCTCACCACTTAGCCTCCAATGCTCCCAGTTGGCTGTGCAGTTTGTGGATGCCTCCCTCGTGCAGCAGACACCAACTGCTGCCAGCTACGAGCTTCTCATGAAGCAGGGCTGGGAAACAGAACTTCTGAGTAAAGCTGCTTCCTCCTTCAGCTCCCACGGGCCTCCTTGGGCAAGAGTAGAGATGAAACACAGACAAAAGAACGCTGCTGATTCATCCAACCATCCCCTGCCAGAGAGCCTTATTCATGTCTAGTCTGGTTCTGTTAACTCACTGGGGTCCTGCAGTTTCCTTGGGGAGACTGTCTCACCAACTGTTAGGCTTCATGACTAAGGATTTCCCACCAGTTGTCTTTTCACTCCATTACCACCTTCCTCTGACTGCTGAAGTCGTTGTGGCGTGTGCCTGCTGCCCTGCAGATAACAGCCTCTCAGGTCCAAAGGGATTCTGAGATGAGATTTTCTCTTACGTACAACTATGTAGCTTTGTATTTGAAGCTGTCATTTCTTGCTTCTTGATAGTAGGTATTTCAATTACCATTTGCTTTCTGAGGTTAAACTAGAGGTGGCATTTGGCAGCAAGCATCCCTGCCTGGGGTCTTTGGGTATCACTGCAGGCTGAACTTTTTTCCCTCCTCAGATTCAGAGGTACAGTTGCAGCACTGAAGTCTTTGTATTCCACAGCTGTATGTTAAGATAGAAGAGTTCCCTTTCCATTTTAGGGGAAGCTGGGTGAAGGAAGGAGCTAGGGGTGGCATACTGTGTGTGGAGAACTACAAACCAAGGACTGAAGGCTTAAGGAGCAGCTAACATTGAGCTTTGGAGAATCTGGTGGTGAAGTCCAGGCTATTGGAAAGCATCTCCCTGTTTGATTTCTGACAACATCTGTGGTTCCTTTGTTCTCCCAGGAGGCCTCGTCCCTCCTTTTGAGCCTGTGCTGCTGTAGATAAAGAAGTTCTGTCGGTTCAAAAGACACAGTGTAATTGAGTATCTCCTGCTTCTGTTGCTCTTAGTGGCAATTGCCAGTTCCTGTGAACTGACAGATTAAAATGCATGTGCCATGTATTCTTCCAGCTGGCTGAAACTGCAGTGACATTTGTATGTCACTAGCCAGACTGTTAGCACCCCTCAGAGCATCTGCCAGCACTTAACAGAGCCATTCCCTACCATGCAGGGTTGGTGGTGTGCTGAATAACTTGTTGAAGTCTCATTTCTGCCCTACAGCTTTCACACTTTTCCTCCAGAGGGATTCCTGACAGTTCAGCAGTTAAACTGCACCTTTCCTCACACAGCACAGCTCTTCTGTACCCCCAGCCATCCCCAAAAGGTGAGGCTGCCAAGGTTGGCAATGTCATCTCTAGTACAGAGCAGAGGGCCCTTCCACGTTAAAGCAGGATTCCTCCCAGCAGAACAGAGCCATGCAGCCACAAAACCGAGCTTTCAACCTCGTTCATTTGTTTTACAATGATCTCAGCTGAGTACATCGTCACCCGCTCCTCACTTGCACTAATCATTTCATTAGCTCTTAATGAGAGCCTAGAGCTACTGAGATGGCACAGTATCACAGAGCTCACATATTCCACTTCAAAGTAGTGGAAGTGCAGAACTGATTTAAACAGGGAGAAGCAAAACACTCCACGTTGCTCACAGGGGTCAGCACACATCAGCAGATGTGTTATAGTTCAGAGCTGGGGCTCTAGCTGCTTTCAGCTGTCAGCAGAGCCCCAGTTCCCCCTCAGGTACACACACCCCTAGGAAATGAGTGCCCAGGCTTAACTGCAGCTTAGCAGAAAGTGGGTGAGAAGCTCCAGTCTGGCTCCTGAGGCGTGCAGGGCTCGGAGCTGGACTTGCTCTCATTTTCTCACCACTCCTGGCAGCCCGTGGCTGCATCTGTAAGCAATCAAGCTGTGCAGATGCACACCTCAGGTTTCGTGCCTTCCTCTAAAGGCATCCACGAAAGGCATCTTGCTTCACAGATGTCATGCTTCATGAGGTGCCATACTTGAAATCAACATGAAGACTCAAAAAAAACAAAGTTCAGTTCAGAAAAGCAGATCGAAGGTACAGCAGTATCCAAAACAGAGCAGATGTAGTTGGCAGTCTTAATTTATTCAGCTTAAACAAAGATTTTTTTAAAAAATAATCAATAAATAAAACAGACATTACCAAGGGGACACTGTATTGAGTGAAGTACCATCAGGGACATTAAACAGAACCCCCCCACACACCTTAAAGTAGCTCTCCTCACCACAAGGAAAGGACTTTCCTTAAGGCCTAACTGTTCACAAACAAGGCTGGCTGCTCTGAGCCAACCTTTGCCTGTTCATAATGCCCTATTCACAGATGGAGGATTTGTCACTCTCCTTGCACAAAACACGATTGTTGAAGTGAGGGCTTTGTATATTATTTGCTTGCCTCTGGGAGCAAAAGTGCTAAAATCATTTATCCAACCTTACAGAAGAGGGGTGCTTGCAAACAGCAGCTATCCCTCAGGACACTGATCTGGGATCTCGGGGCTGGTTTGAAATGCAATAGGTAGAAGTGGTTACCAGCAAAACCAGAGCTGAACTGGCCCAAAGGAGTTCAAGTACAGCAAGTTGGTTGGATGCGTTGGGTGAAGCTGAATGTGTTGGTACCTTCTTATAGGTACAGGCATTGGCATTCCCACTGAGTACCAGTAAAAGCCCACTGGAGATGAGGTGTATTCTGCCTGTCAGACATTCCAGCTTCCTATTTCTGTTGCAAATCATGGGTTGGTTTGTCATAAAAACATAATTGTCCTGAAAACATATTAAATTATCAGCTAAAGTGCAGGGTCCCTGCATGGAGGACTATGCATCCATTTAGGCTCCAAAACATTGGCTTCAACAGAGCCCATAAGGACCCCCCAACGACACTAACAGCAACAAATCCAGTTTCAGAAAGCAGTGCCTATAAAACTTCAGGTACACGAACATCAACAGCACTTCAGTGAGGTTTCATGGAAAGAACAGAACAAATTCCCATCCTGTAGTACTGACTGCATACGAGAAGCATCCCTACCCACCTACACCACCCTTCATTGAAGTACAGACAGGAGCACAACCCCACAAAGCTGTACTTTGGCTACCAAGAAGAGAAGCGCAAACCTTTAGAAAAATACAATGCAAGAAAAGATTTGAGATAAAAATATAGACCTTTGGTTAAAAACCATCCTTTAACAAGAGTCCTTTGAACTCAGCTAGAACAAAAAAAGCTTCACTTAGACTGAACAGTAGTAAAAATTAGTTCTAAGAGCTAACCCACAGAACCCTCCTAGAATGTCAGTGCGCTGCCTTTCCTTTGCAGGATTTACACGTCTGATGTTCAGTATTTATAGGGATCGTTATATTTGCAGCAATAAACTATATCAATTTGTCATGAAGAGAATGTACCACGAGCTCCTCCACCAACAGTCTGTACAAAAACAGTGCTGCAAGTTCTTAATTAAAGAACCGTTGAAACATGTAGTTTTCTTCAGATACCAAATAGCCAAACTTCTTGTAGAAGGCCACGTTTTTTGGCAGACACTCGAGTGTGATTTTGTAACAGTTCAGTCTCTTACTTAGCAATGTAAGAGTGGACGTTAATCTGAAAAAGACAGAAGAACAGCAGTTAAGTGGGATGGCCCTGAACACAGGAAGGCCCAACAGTTAATTAGCTAAAAGATATCAATGACACTTTTTAAAGGAGCACAGTGCTCATCCAGCTCCAACCCCTGCTGTGTGCAGGTCGCCAACCAGCAGCCCAGGCTGCCCAGAGCCACATCCAGCCTGGCCTTGAATGCCTGCAGGGATGGGGCATCCACAGCCTCCTTGGGCAACCTGTGCCAGTGCCTCACCACCCTCTGGCTCCAAAACTTCCTCCTCATATCCAACCCAAACCTCCCCTGTCTCACTTTAGAACCATTCCAGTACGCTTAGTGGTCCTGCTTTGATCCTATGCCTTCTGTAGAAAGCAGTACTCCAGATATCTGTCGATTTTTCCACAGGATACATTTGGCAGACCCACCTACATCACCTACTCACTGATGCCTACTGACCACAGGGCAGCCCTTCCCCACCTTTAGACATAAAGTACTGAAACATTACAGCAACCTGCGTTTCTCTTCAGTACAGGCAATAGCTGCTATCCCAAAGGAAAAAAAAAAAAAGTAGCAGCAGTGGTTTGTAGGCAATTTTATGTTAAAACTTCAGTGGTGACTTTTTAGCAAAAGGTCTGTGAGCTGTCTGGCTGCAGAGGATCTGCCCCACTAACCTGCAGAACTGAAATCCCGCTCCAAGATCCTCCAGTGCCTACCGAGGGCAAAGGACAGACAGATGGCATCCCGAGAGCAGCAAAAGGGATGGGCTAAACTTCAAACATCAGCCACTCACAGCTGACTTCTGTCCTGTCACACTGATGGCAGCTGCAAACCTTCCTCTTCTCAGAGAGCTCCTGCACTGACATCAGTCATCAGCACTGCAGTGTTTGCTGGCACTGATCAGCACGCCCAGACTGGGGGGCAGAAGCTCCGTGAGGGCTTGCTGCTCTGCCTGGTGTTGAATTGCAAAGGTAACAAATACTTACAGTTTCCCGAGTTGCTTTCCTCTGCACTCCCCGCTCACTACTACGTCTTCTATCCTCCCTCTCTGTGAAGATACAGACAAGTGTTAGTGCAGCACAACACCAGTGTGCAGTCTCCCCCCTGCTCAAGGCTCCACGCCTGCATTTTCTCCTGTCTAGTCAGACAATTCCTCCACAAACTGATGCCCTCATCACTGACTCAGCAGAAGGTATTTCATCACACAGTAACAAGGTAAAAATAACACGTGTCTGCTGGAAACACTGCCTTCTTCCTCACCACAGCTGCAGCCAGAGGAGATACCTTTGCACAGGAGTGAGTGAACTTGTGTTCTATCACCAACGTTGCTGTAGCAACGATCTGTCCGAGATTCGTATCTTCTACAACCGTAACGTAATAATCTCCAGATTTCTTCATGTGCTCAAAGGTTTCTGTGGGAGCAGACAGACAGAACACTGTTAGCCTCCGATTAATTTGCTGAATTCTGAACGCAGATCAGATTCAGAATGCTGAGATCTGAATTCAGGATCACAAAGTGTGCACCTGAGGCACCCAGGACCTTAAAGCCCCAGTCAGATTAACCCTGAGATAGAAGCCAGGAAAAGCAGGAATGAACCCAAGAATGGCCTGGGTTGAAAAGGACCATAATGATCATCAACACCCTGCTATGTGCAGGGTCACCAACCACCAGACCAAGCTGCCCACAATGAAGAAACTGCCTTTTCCCTAACCACCAAGAGAACCCTCCCTCCTCAGCAGATGGGTGCCAATGAAGGCAGCAGCACCTCCTGTAAGCTTTATCTCTCAGTCAAAGCAGTGAAGCAAGCTCAGAATGTCACTGAGCTGCAATCAAAGGCAAACTTCTGCTTCAGCCAAAAGAAGCCACCACCCAATGCTCCCTCCTGCCACGCATCGAAAGCTCAGCCTCAAAAGCAGGTATACAACTTAAACACATCCCAGCCAAGAAGCCCCTCAGGATAACTGCAGCTGAATACAAAGCTGAGTGCCAGAATCTGCCTCAGGGGACAGAAGATAATAAATCCCTCTGCATCACAGCCAGGTAGATTGCTGTCAGCATCACTGTCTCCTGGTTCTCAGCAACCTCTACCAAGTGCCAAGACACGATGATGTACTCACTGATAAACTGCTCTGGGCTCACAACTCCAGTTTCAGTCAGCTGACCCAGGACCTTGAAAAAGCCTGTTACAGAAGAGGAGAAAGACTCACTGCAGGGCAGAGACATGCAAATAGCACAGAACAGCTTGACATGGCTGTCTGCAGAGCTCACTTCCCCATGGCATCACCTAGTTCAGCTGTATCTAAAGGCCTGTGCTCTGCATATTACAGACCTGGACTGTAATCTTAATGTAACCTTGAGCAATGCTCAGTACTTCATTAGCTTATCAGTGAACTAGCTTGAATGCAGGAGACACAGATGTTTAAGCAAGGGAAGTGTCAGCCTTAACATTATGCAGTGTTTAGCCATTTGTACAGAGCACCTTTCTTTTTTTGTGTGTGTTTCCCCCCCCCCCCAGGCTACAGATGTGAAAGCTTCATAATCACACTGGTTTACACCACTTCTATACCATAAGGAACAGCACAAACAAGCGTATTCCCCCTTATATAGAATGGCCAGGGTTGAAAAGGACCACAATGATCATCTTGTTTCAACCCCCTGCTGTGTGCAGGGTTGCCAACCAGCAGACCAGGCTGCCCAGAGCCACATCCAGCCTTAGAACAACACAGCCTTTAGAACTGTGCTGAATAGGAAGCTGAGGATTATTTGAAATACTTAAATTTTAAGATTATTTTTCAGGTTATTAAGATAGGAGAAACAATGTTGAGGGTCAAGCAACACAGCAGCTATTCATCCATCATGCCAAGTGCTCAAATTCCTTCGTGATAACCCAAACCAGATAAAACACATAATCCTAACCTAATGAGAGAGAATGCAGGAATACACATGATGTAGTTCAGCACCCATTTTTGCTTGTGATGATCACACAACAGGATTCTACCTCGATTTACATCAGCTGTGCACAGCGGTCTCATGACCAGCCCATCTCCTGGCTCCGAGGGAGAAATAGAAGGAGAAAACATGGCTGTGTTCTCACTCCAGTCAAGCTCGTGCAGAATGCTTGGGTCAAACATCGGCGTGTCGTCCGGCATGGCGGTCGCTACGGGCAGCATGGCAGCAAGAGGTGCTCTGGAACACAAAGCACACACGTGAGCAATGCTTTCGTTTCACTACTCCCTTCATGCCCAAAGAGTCTCTCCCTAAGAGTCTTTCCTCTCAGCGATGTAAAGAAAAGGGAACGACACCAAAGCTGCTGCTGGCTTTGTGTGAAATCAGAGAGCTGATCTTCACCAGACGAGATGCTGGGATAAACAAAGTGTGCGTGAGCTGAAGTCAGCACAGACTGTGCTCACCCAGAGGGGTTTTCTCTTGGAGAGAAAAAAATAACAGACATTGAGCTGGATAGTTAGCACCTACAGCCCCCTGGAAAGGAAACTAGCCAAGTGTATGGAGAAAGCAGTGTGTACAAGTATTCTCCCCATTCATTCAGACTGGTGGTAGGAAGAAAGTGCATTTTCCAAGCAGTCTCATCACACAGACACACGCTTCCATCACGCAGGTGACACGCAGCATCCAGGCACGCTTCCAGGGGTTCATTTACGTCATGTTTGCTCTGTGTATTTACAGACCCAGATGCCATCCCAGCACAGCATCTCACCGCCCATTAACAGAACTGCCAGAAGCACCTGTTAATGATTAAAGAGATGCGGGAAGTTAAGGCTAGAGGAAGCAGAGGGACACCTCCGACTGCACGGGCAGGAATTGCTGGTGAGTACTCTGGTACCAACAGAGCACTGCAGGAGTCACTGCTGAGAAGTCCTGGATGTGGCTCTGGGCAGCCTGGGCTGCTGGTTGGCGACCCTTCACACAGCAGGGGGTTGGAGCTGGGTGAGCACTGTGCTCCTTTGCAACCCAGGCCTTTCTGAGACAGAGCACAGCTCCAACTCAGCACAGCGGCAGCACCCAGACGTCAAAGCGAGGGCAGCTTTAGGAAACTCACTAAGGAAAGCTCTTAAATAAAGAGAGAGAATAAAGAGAAGCCTCGAAGCGCCCATTCTCACCCCAGCCCCGCTAGGAAATACAGACTGCCCGCAGTTACAGCAGCAAACCAACCAACCCCCCCACTCCATAGGGGGACGAAGCAGAGCCGGTGCGAGCCTGCAGGCGGCACGGCACAACACTGAACACGGCCGGCACGGCGCTGGAGGCCTGACCCCGCCGCCACAACGCACGGCCTCCCGCAGCAACAGACCGCACTCACACCTCAAGGCCCCTTAACCCTACACCGGGAGCCCGGGCGGCACTCGCCGGGCCGGGCCGGGCCGGGATGGGATGGGATGGGATGGGCTGGGCCGAGCCAGACAGCAGAGCCCCCCTCCCGCTCCCCACAGAGCCCGCTTTCCCCGGAGCCCCCCGGCCGCACTCACCCCGCACAGCGCACGAGGCCGCGCCGCCGCTCGCACCGGCTCCCACGCAGGCGCCGCACAGACGTGGCAGGAGGCGGGGCCTAACGCGCACGCATGCCACGACTCAGCCAATCGTCGGCCGCGCCGGCCGCCCCGCTCTAACTCTACGCTCTCGGATTAGTGAAGAGCGGTGAGGCCACGCCCCCCGCCCTTTGGCCGAGGTCCCGCCCCTCCGAGGCGCAAAATGGCGGCGGCGCCGTGGGCGCGGAGAGAGGCGGTCGCTCGTTGCTCCGCTCGTCGCTCCGCTCGTTGCTCCCTGGCGGAAGGGGCCGGTCTGGGCGGGGAGAAGGGCGGAGGGGTGACTGGGATTTGGTGTGTGGGAGGTGTGAGGTAGTGTCTGTGATGGGGGGACACAGAGA